CCGGTCGATGGCTGGGCAGCCAGCATCAGGTGGGGCAAACTGAAATCACGTGACCAAGCTAAATGCCTAGCAACGGGCTCTAACACGTGACCTTGATGCGAGTCCACAAACAAACGTGCACACCCATCTCCACCCTCGTCCGGTCGATGGCTGGGCAGCCGCATCAGTGGGGCAACTGAAATCACGTGCCCAGCTAAATGCAGCAACGGGGCCCTAAACACGTGACCTGATGCCGAGTCCACAACAAGACGTGCACACCCAGCTCCACCCTCTGCCGGTCGATGGTGGGCAGCCAGCATCAGGGTGGGGCAAACTGAAAATCACGTGACCAGCTAAATCCTAGCACGGGCTCCTAACACGGACCTTGAGGTGCCGATCCACAAACAAGACGTGCACACCCAGCTCCACCTCTGCCGGTCGATGGCTGGGCAGCCAGCATCAGGGTGGGGCAAACTGAAAATCACGTGACCAAGCTAATGCCTAGCACGGGCTCCTAACCAGTGACCTTGAGGTTTCGAGTCCACAAACAAGACGTGCACACCCAGCTCCACCCTCTGCCGGTCGATGGCTGGGCAGCCAGCATCAGGGTGGGGCAAACTGAAAATCACGTGACCAAGCTAAATGCCTAGCAACGGGGCCCTAACCACGTGACCTTGAGATGCTGAGTCCAGAGATGATGTCATTTAGTTTTTCCTCCCTTATTCTGGCTGCACCAGCCATCGACCTTCATTTGGTTTGATCTGGGTGTGCACGTCTTTTTTGTGTACTTGGCATTTCAAGTCCACGTGGTGAGGATCCCTTAACCCCGACCATAACCCTTTACCCTAACCCTACGGTAACTTTTAACCCTACCCTGACCTTTATATTATTCGTGATTAACTATTCATCGGGTCACCTATTTACCATATTGTAGGATCGAGATTATAATAGTTGTATTTATGTTATATTTCATATCGAGATAAAGATTTAGCAAAATTGAAGCTGTCTATTCGTGGTTAAGACTTGTATTTTTGTTGTATATTATGCAATACTTAAGTATTATGTTTTTGTTTCTCTCTACTTGTAAACTTATTCTTCACACGAAAATTATTCGTGTAGTTCATATTGTACAATGTTATTTTCTATTTTATAGTACGTTGTGGTCTGTTTGGTTGGTATATAAACTCAGTATGTTTGAAATATAATGATTCATATTGCAGAGGCTCGGGTTGGTGTTCTGGTCTTAACTGGCTGGGCTAGGCTGAAAGCAGGATCAATCAAGACTCTAGGCTGCTCATACGGGTTTACGCGTCATTGGTCCGATGATAAGTCACTTCTGTCTAATCGGTGGTCACAAGTTATAACAAGCTAGTATCAGTTGGTGATGAAAACACTAACCCTAACCCTAAACTTAGCGCGTGTCAAACGTTATTTCATTCTATTTTCGTCTTTGAAAATATTTTAAATTTGCTTTTACTGGATTGTCATCTTTTATTTAATAAGTTCTTGAAGAAAAACATGGACGGTAGGAATTCTATAAGTAGTATTTATTCCAAAATTAAAATAGAAATAATTAAATGTGAAAAATGCATAGACTATCGCCCGTCTTCCGTCACAAAACTTTCTGATCTGGTTTAGGTGACTGATATAATGAATAATGGTGAACTTAAAAATGAGTAATGTAAGTCATGAATGTGATAATAATGCTAAATGTTTGCAATTTGAGACATTGTTCATAATCATCGTTATATTTTCATGACTTTTGGTCATCTCCTGTTGTATCCACAGGTTTAAAGACTTCATCTTTTTGTCTTAAGTGATTAATTGCTAAACCGAATAGTACACAAATAACTAAACTGCACAATGATAAACCAATTGCAATAGATAGACTCATATCATGTGAGATATCACCAGCACACACAACACCTAGAAAGATATAATTGAAAAAATAAGCACAATGAAAAAATTGTCTTAAAAATTATTCAAGTCAAAATTTCAACTCAATAAGGAAACAAATGAGATATGAGAAAGATGTCCTTAAATAGATTGGTATTCTTGTTTATAGGTATTAATGCCAAGGTTGACATGACAGTTTCAAATAAATTGGGCATTCGGTGGAAAGTTAAAAATAAATATTTTTTTCTTAGGTCCCAATAAATAGAAAATTGTATTGCTAACGTTCCGTGACTTGATGTAAGACTTCTTCAGATTAAAGAAATAACCGAATCAAATTAACACAAATTTAAATAATATAACAAACAAGGCAGAATATTTTTAGTACAATCAAAGTCAATGTAGGTTTGAATATGTCATGTGGTGTTATTCTTGGTCAAGATGAATTTGTACGACCTGCCACTGCATTAACTTGTGCCGTAGAAGGTGGATAAAAATTGTATGTAGTTGTATCATGAAGTGCTAGGGTTGAAATTTTGTGTTTTTAAATTGTATGGAAAATAAATAAGGTCAAATTTTCGGTTGATTGGATAAACAGTGCAGTAGTGTTGCTTGTTATCCGGCGAAACGGCTAATGTTAAAATAACTGTAACTTTTTGATAACGGTTGTAGTAGTTCTCCACATTTCAGCTCCGTGTGATAGAACTGTCTTGACGTTCATATGAAGATTGTGATTTTGGTGTTGGTTGACGGTTGTTTTGAGTCTAACATGTTCTACAACTATAGGAATGTGGACCTTGCTTTTCCAATCCATGCCTTCATATCTGCATCAGATCCTCCTTGTTTATCAATCATGCTGTCAAGAAAAGTGAAAGTTTTCACCTCTTCCAGAACTTCTCCATCAAGTGAGATTCAGTCGGTGTCTTGTGTTGCATTTGAGGATCATGCTTTTTCCCTTGTGTACGTTGAAGCCCATTGCTGCAGAGGTTGCTGCTAAAATGGCGAACTTCACTTGTATTTGTTAATGTGTATGAGACAGAAGAGCTGGATCATCTGTGATGTCCAAATTGTCTGATGTATCCGTACCTTCCCTCAGATTTGGAAGTCTTCATAATCCAGTCAACCACCAGAAGAAAGAGAGAGGGGGAAAGTAGACAGCTATGTCTGACTCAGGTCCTCATTCGGAATGCGTCTGTCAACTGTACTACTACACCCACCATTTTGTAGTAAAGTCAGTTGTATGAATTGCGAATAATGTTGACGATCTTCTCAGGTACACCATATTGTCGAAGGAGGTTCCACAAGGTTCTCCTATCCACAATGTCAAACGCTTTCTCAATGTCAAGAAAGTTGACGTGTCGTGACGAATTCCACTCAACAATGATTAGTGATGTCGTGATTTGATCTATGCACGACCGATACTCATGAAATACAGCCTGTTGATACCGAAATTGAGCGTCTACTAAATCCTTCATCCGGTTCAACAACACTTTGCTTAAAACGTCCCCCAGTATAGATAGTAGTGTGATGTCTCTTAGTGGTTGGCTTGCCTTTTTTTCCTTGACCGGTCTCTCTAGTTTACAAGATTTCTCTGCCAGTTATTTCGTTGCACCATATAGTCGTCTCATATTTCCTTCTCTGGCAACCTTCTCCGCCGTCGGTGTTAGGTCTCTCATGTATTTCTGCTTGTCGGCTCGGATACTCCTCTTCATTGTCATGTTTACTTGTTTGTATTCAGCGTGTTCCTTTAATTTCTCTTTCATGTTCAGCTGTTGTTAATTGCTGTCTTCTTCTTCCTTTCTTGAATCTTGTTTAGGTTTTCAATAGAGATCCATGGCTTATGATGATACTTCTCGCGCCACAGCACCTCCTGACACGTTGAAGTTAGTGCTTCTTTGATCCCTTTCCTGTTGTCCTCCATAAGAGTTTCTTCTCTTTCAGTAGATCTTGTAAGGCTTGGAACCTGTCACTGAGAGCTAACTTGAATTCGTAAAGTTTGTCAGTATCTCGTAGAAAGGCTGTATTGAAACTTTGTAATGCTGTTTGTTCAGTTGTTCAGTGCTTCTTAAGCTCCAGTTTCATCTTTGAAACCACTAGGTTGTGATCTGAAGTTATGTCAGTTCCTCTCTCGGTCCTCCCGCCTTCCATTGACCTTCTGAATTTACTAGTAATACAAATATGATCAATCTGGTTCTCTGTGATGTGGTCGAATGAGACCTATGTAGCCTTGTGTATGTGTTTATGTGGGAATATAGTTCCACCTACAACCATTTTGCTGAATGTACATAAATTTGTGAATCTCTCGCAATTCTCGTTCCTTTCTCTCAGTTAGTCCATCATTTCGTCTCATTATATCTTGTTGTACATTTCAACTTTCATATTTAGGTATCCTATGAGGATGGTCAGGTTCTCTTCTGGGCACTTCTCTGTGATCGACTGCAGCCTCTCGTAAAACTGATGTTTATCCTCGTCACTGCTATCAATGGTGGGTTCATAGCATATGATAATATTCATTTCGGTTCCCTCCTTCTTTGTTTTGATGAATCATTTGACGATTGCGGATTCATGATATTCGCATTTTATGGGTGTTTATAGTTCTTCTTTGAACAGCACCAATATATATATGGTTTATTGAAATGTTTCTTTGTTGTTTGCATCTGTTTTTGAAATATATATAATCTCAATATTGACGTGTGATAAATCGTACAACGCTTTGCTGCTAAACTGTATTAATGGAATGAAATCATGCTATTTTGAATGTAATTCATGCTGACAGTAGGAGGTATTGTCAGTTATATTTACATATACAGGATGTGACTAAGAAAGCGTACTTACTTGCTCCAGTAAATTCTGGTACATTGACGTCAGCAAATGCTTGAGAGCGTACACTTTGTAAACTCATTATAATATTCCATTTGTCGTTATGTGATTTAATGTAATTATCATTCGAATTAACTACTGTACTATTTTCTGTATCAAAAACAAATTGAGTCTCTGAAACACATTCATAATAATCACCAACTCTAGCTTGTAAACGCTTTTCAGCTAAACTATGTACAATAAATTCCTCAGTATCTAGAAATAAAAATAAAAATAAATAGGATCCGAAAATTAAAAAAGTTATATTAAAATATTTTTGAACTCTATATACAGAACAAATGAAAGAAACACAAACACAAAGTGTAGTGTGACAAATATAAATATAGAGAAATCCATCCCAATCACTTAAATAATTTCCCTTATATCATTTTTATATTGAGTTTTCGAATCTTACCATTGGTGTTTGGGACTGCAATTAATCAGTCTCTTATTGGCATATGTGCATCTTGTGAGGATTGCCTCGATATCGCCCTAAGTCATGAGCATATATATAAACTAAACCACCCTATTGCACAAGTTATGTGTGCCCAGTAGCTAAGTGGACGACGTGATGGCTTGCGAAGGGAATGGCGCTGGGTCCGAGTTCCGGAGTGAACAGCAACTCTGGAATGCAGGTAAATCCACATGACGAGTCATGAATAGGATGAAACGCGCATCCAAGATTCCACTGCTAGCCACTATCAGTCTTTGCTTAGTATCCCTACTATATCCTAGTGAGAATCAAATTACACGTAACTTCTGAGGACTGATAATAGACTAATATTATATATATATATTCTTATTGTATAACTATTCAGTAACTATTATGTATATTCCTCATATTATAAGCTTCATTTTGACCTACAGATTAATATTATTTTACGACTTACTATTCTTAAATTATGCTCACTTTATTAATTACAGTCTCCCACGTCCACAGTCACCTCTTGGTCAGATCTTTCATAAATGTTATTTCCTATTTTATGATATTATGTGATCTATTTGGCTGATATATAAATCAAGTATGTTTGAAATAAATGATTCCCATAATGAAAACTGTTGTTAGCGTTCTCGACTCAACTGGAGGTGATAGGAGTACAAAGGATCAATAAGAATGCTGGGTTGCTGATACAGGTCGAAAGTCATTGGTTTGGCGCAGTACTAGGATTGTATAAGTTGCATTTTGATTGGCAAATAAATCATGTGATAATTGACTGGGCTTAAAAACACAACAATCCCCTTATGGTCTTTAAGGTTTGATTATCTGACAGTAAACAACGTTTTAATTTCCGAGTTTTTAGTCTCTCAAATGCAGTAAATTCCATTTGAGATACTAATAAATCCAATATTCGTCTTTTAAATACATGGAATTTACCTCACAATAGTTCTAGACAATGTTTCCTACTGCCCTATAACTGCAAAAACCACACCCATGTCACTAATAGCTGTAGTAAGCTAACTATACTGACGTATAAAGTTTTTTTAATTTAAATGCTTTGTTGATGCCTAGTTTTGGCCACTGTAATAAAATAACCGTGGATTTACAACTCAATAGTCAGCTAACGAAGTTATTTAAAACAAGTATTTGCTCAAATGTTCAGTGTTCATTAAAACAGGCTGTTGTTTAATATAACGTCAAATTCTTTTAGACACCGAGTGACATAAATCAATCTTTCGTTGAACTATAAAGTATCCCTATCTTCAGATTAAAGAATAAAAATGAATTTTAAGGAAAAGTAATCAATCTTGCATAAGTTTTTTACTCGAAAAAAAATATTTAAAGCCAATTAGTTTGGAATATATAAAATATAAGTATAATTTACTTCCTAAACATGTTTATTTCAGATAAACGTTAAGAAAAAAGCATCGATTTCATAAGCCTTTGTTAACAAAGTATTTCAATGCGTTAAAACAAGCTACAAAATTACATTGCCAACTTTGCAATACTTTGTATTAACCACCTTCACAAAAATAATAAACGCGACGATTGAGGTAAAATTAAAGATAGAAATATGGTTTTCAACTTATTATTATAAATAAACAACTCATTGATCCATAATTAAGGTTATATTCACGTCAATTTGTAAGCGCTAAGATCCTAGGAGTATGTTATTTAAAATATTACTCATCAATCGAAAATATTCTTCAATCTCATTTCCAAACGGTAGGAAAACTGAGAAAGACAGAAAGTAACAAGTCAAGAAATGATACATTTTCAATTAAATGAACTACTACAAATTCAAGTTAAACAAAACAATATGGTTTGTACATCTGTCATTTCAGTCGAAACATTTATGAAAACTGAGAAACATAATGTTATAATCTCTTTCTTACGGTTATGACCCAGCTATTCCTATTGCTTAGTATTCTCGGACACCGATTCACTCGACAAGTCCCCAAATCAGAACACGGATGAACAGGAAAGAGATTATATTCCAAATAACAAGGTTAGATGGAAGTAAGAAGCAAGTAAGAAGTATAATAGAGAAAACGTTGATATATTTATAGTTTTTACTTGAGAAGGTTCTAGAGTGTTCTCCAACTATCGAATAGTGCTGATTGGTTAAGAATTAGCCAATCAGCGTGCATCAAAGCAATCATGCATTGAGCATGCTTCAATCCAGTCTATGTCCCGCTAACACATAAGAATAACAGAGCTATCCCAATGAAAAGGTTTCGAATTTTAATTTAGTTAAAAAACAGAAAGTTACACTGTTAATTTACAAACTCTCTTTAGGTAAACTGGAATACATGTAACGTTGCTCTAAGAACTTATTATAACTTATATAACTTAAAACGTTCAAATGAAAAATAATCATTGGTCTATCAGGAACTGATCAACAGAATCACAATAAAGGATCATTTTCTATTTTAAAAAAATCGTTATTGCAGTACACGTCACCATATGATTAAAGCATTATTTTGTCAACCTAAATAAATAGACCTTTAAACAAACAAAATATTTGGTTAGTTTTCCATAGAACTAAAGAATTTTATGCCAACAATCTTGAACTTTGAAATAATGTTCATAGAACAACAGATAACTTGTTTTAAAAAACCGTCTATCATTTACTATCATTTACAATTATAAGAGATTATTGAACGTTTACAAATTAGTAAGCAAAAATAGTCACAACAGAAAATATATCAAACAAAAAACACCAATGAAATTCCTCAATAAAATGAATGTTTAATTCTCTTACTTTCTTGTTAAATATAAAAGAACATTATGAAGATGAAGATGAATTCCAATTATACTGAATATGCTGTGAATATGACCAGAAGCGAAGTTAGTTAAAAATCGATATCCTGTTATAAGTGTGGAGGTATTTTACGTTAGGATTGTTGCTAATCTACGGTTAAATATTAGCTGGTAGTAGAATGAAGGACAACCATTTCGTTTCATTCAGAGCATATCATCTGGACATATCTGTATTTCAGTGTTAGTGTCAACACACACAACAACAACTGCAGAAGACGACCAGTTTGACAGCAGCCTCAGCAGTAGTACGTCACAACATACACAAAGGGAAAAGCAAGATTCTCCGATACAACACAGCATGCAACAATCGAATAACACTTGACGAAGATTCGGGAGATGTAAAAACCTTAACATGTCTGGGAAGTATCATTAATGATTTCAGTGAATCTAATGGAGAAGTGAAAACGCGAATCGGCAAAGCAAAAGCAACATATTTACAACTGAATAACATCTGGAACTCAAAACAACTGTCAACCAACACCAAGGTCAAAATTTTCAATACAAATGTCAAAGTCGTTCTACTGTATGGGGCGGAAACCTGGAGAACTACGGAAGCCATCATCCAGAGGATATAAGGGTTTACTGACAGTTGTCTACACAAAATACTTTGGATCCGTTAGCCAGACACTATCAGCAGCAACCTACTGTGGGAGAGAACAACCCAGATCCCAGTGAAGGAAGAAATCAGGAAGAAGCTCTGGAAGTGGATAGGACACACATTGAGGAAAGCACCCAATTAAGTCACAAGACAATCCTTTGCATGGAATCCTCAAGGCGAAAGGAAAAGAGGAAGACCAAAGAACACATTACTTCGAGAAATGGAGACAGACATGAGAAAAATGAACAAAAATAGGATAGAACTAGATTGGAAGGCTTAGAACAGAGTGGGTTGGAGAATGATGGTCGGCGGCCTATGCTTCATTGGGAGTAACAGACGTAAGTAAGTAAGTCAACACCGCGACTTGAATTCAGTGCCTTTCGCTTCAAATCTCAACTTATCTAGTAATATATTGAGTCTACACAGCCTTTAAAAACCTAGAAAACAAGTCGTTTCGTTTTTAACATGTAAGATATCAACTACATAAGTAATCGAACGTGCCTAACTAAAACATTGTACGATGTCAGGTTTTGGCCACCAAGTGATAAAAATCCATGCACCGAGGTTAAATCTTATCCACTTTTTCAAATTCATCACTCAACTTCACTTCAACAGAAATATTGCATCAGAAATCACGTACTAGTTGCTACACTTATAATGAATATGAAAAGTTTCATATCGCCTTCCATGTATCCACTTTTGAGGGAAACGTAGAGGTTGTTTATTTAATTTGATACTATCTAATTACTGTAAAGTTGTAGTAAAATAGAAACAAGTGATTGATTGTAGGTTATGTTAGAGTTATGAATTTTGATAAGTGAAAAGTTTAGCCTGGATGTGAGGCCAAAGGTTACTGAGGCCATTATCAAGCATAATTTCAGAACGTGACGAGAATCATCATTATAAAGCATCAAATCTTCATATACTACCTATCACAAAAACAATTTGATGCCAATCAGTAAAGGGTTGTATAGATTGTCGAATTTTATTTAAATCATCAATCAATCTTAGACCCACTATTTAAAACCTGGAAGCAGTGGACGGACATTTCGTCCTATTATGGAACTTCGCAGGAATGTGCATTCACCATCTCACCCTTAGGAATCGAACTCAAGACCTTCAGTTTAATACATGAACGCTTGAAATCTAGACCAGTGAATCAGCATCCAAATTTATGATTTCAATGAAATTTTATGCTTTTTCATTGACTTGTTTCGACATTGGTTTCCAAACGTTCTAGTAGGAAACCGTGGTCAGTGGCGTTTTCCAATCAGCAGCGAGTAATTTACTCTCCCAGGACTCTTGATGACAACCGTGCTACATACCCGATTGTCTAAAGTTGGTTATGGTGACCACTTTATCCTGACCCAGTAACTAAATGGTTTGATGCTTGTCCAATAGCCTAAAGTCCTAAATTCGATGTCTCACCTTATAGTCAAATGTACACTGCATTCGAACGTCCAAAAATGAGGACAAAGCAGCTGACTAGTCCAACCAGTTCTCAATTTTAATATAAATATCCAGAACACTTCATTGTATGCAAATAATTTGAAAATAGTTCTAAGTCGCTTTTAATTAAAATATCCATAACTAGGACGTTTCTATCTACGACGAATTATGAATGTTCTTGTTTTCTTTTATATCAATAGAAAATTAGAGAATTATCACATTTCATGAATTTTACTTCACATTTATAAGGAAAAATATTTTTTTCTGGAAATGTGTTATAACGAAATATTTAACAACATCGTATTAATCAAACTTAATAGACTAACGTATTTGCATAAATTTGTTTTCATGCAATTCATTTGAATTTTTAATTAAGACAAATAATTTCTATTAAATTATTTTTCTTTAAAAAAAAATAGTTGACATACATTTTGTTCTGAAGGTTTACTACGGCATTTTGTTGGTTTATAGCACAAAACAGAATTCATTAATTCTGTTTTGTTTATGAGAAATATAATTGAACACTTCATACTGATTAAAAATAACGGAGCTACATTACAGCAAAAACTTCTACTTGACAACTTGAAAACCATTGATGTAGTTTCATTTACAAAAAAGCTATCAACATAGGAATACCCTCATTGTTGCTGTATGCTATGGTATTACATGCTTTTCATTTTGTGGAAAGAAACTATTAGCTATGCAACATCAAGATACATTAAATTCTCAAAGATGATCTACAGAACCTTTGAACCTAAGTTTTGTGCTACGTAGTGTTTTCTACTATCAACTATCGTCAGTCTTCGGAAAACTAATGTTACCAAATAAGATCTGAACTCATGTCTTCCAGTTTCTTGGTTGAAACAATAGCTCCGATGTCGAACTGAAAGAATTAGTCTTTATATTGATGGGAATCGATCAACACTGTGCAGTAAATAAACACGACGCTGATTATCACTCAGTGACCAAATGCTGAGCATGGATTTATTTTCAGCAAAATTCAATTACCACAGAGACCGCGATTGGAAATACTTGCTTTTGCTAGCACCTTAGAGATTTGATTACTATACAATCATAAATACTGAAATCCCGTTTGAACTGCACATGACTTTAAGTCGTTTTAGATATGGTTGTTCTGTGGTTTTCATACTCAATAATATTTAGTGATGCTCAAAGTAATTATAAAAACCAAATGATGCTGGTTTATGATATAACACCATGAAACGAACAGTAGATCCATATAACTGATGTCTCTTGGTGAATCAAATGTTCAAGAAAAAAGTGGAAGACACAATGAGTTTGGAATAAATCCAAATCTTTGAAATTTAAGAATTCGTTGCCCATTTAGTTGGAGTAGTATCTATCAAAATTTATGTACATTTGTGAGTTATCAAAAAACACCACTTTTTAGAAAAATTTTGAAAGTCCTAACAAATGTTTTGTCATTTTAATGTTCTATAGAAGCTTACTGTAATTTGAAGACTAATTTTTTTTATTCGAGTTTCAAATGATGAACATTAACCAAAAAAAAGAATTAAATGATTGAAACTTCATCCTAATTTGGAATACCATGTTTTATTCCATACTAATAAATCAATATGTAGGAGATCAAAGCTTCTAACAACATAAGTAAATAACTATTGCACTTTTGCTAGTAACTTATTTCAAATTATTAACTACTGAACATATACTATTGACATTGTTAGACGGTTCGTAATAACCAATGCATTTTGTCAGAGGCCTCATTATCGACAGATACAAGCCTGATACGTGCACGTTAAGAAGGAAAGCTTCAAGTTTTATGACTGTCACAGGAATTTTAAATTTCCATAACCCCCTATTTCATTTCTCCACTATTTAATTAAATAATAATAATAATTATTATTTTTAGTTTTAATCATTTAGTTTTTGCATGATTTACGAATCATTATTATAAAATACATTTGATAGATATGGATTATGAATTAGAAATTGTTTAATTTTTAATTTATTTTTTTTTCCATTCATACTGGGTTATTTTTAATGAATATTCATTCAATTAAACCAACTATTGAATTATGTCAGAATGGGTTTCGTGGAGATTTTAGAAATTTCACAGATTGAAATCATGAGTCAGTTGAAGCTGGACCACCATTGAAAACCTGGATGCCGGCTCAGTGGTCTAGTGGTTAAGTGCTCGCGCGCGAAGCCAGTAGGTCCTGGGTTCGAGCCCTGCGTGGTGCGGGATCGTGGATGCGCACTGCTGAGGAGTCCCATACTAGGACGAAACGGCCGTCCAGTGCTTCCAGGTATTCAATGGTGGTCTAGCTTCAACTGACTCATGATTTCAATCTGTGATATTTAATTATGTGTAGGTTATTATAAAATAGTTTTAATGATAAACAATGAAAAATCTAAATCAGTTTATGGATCCCCTTATTACACAACATTTGAATTGACCGATAATAAAATAAATCTCTTCACACAACTATATATACTGATTAATTTACTTAATTATCTGATGGATAATCAAAATTATTAATGATTTGTGAACATGATCTGTAAGCTTTTCATTCTAATTTAAGGCTAAAGTAAATCTTTATTAGACAAACTCTTCATTTTGATATAAGAAAATGTAATTGAATAAAAAAAAACTAGATATTATTTAACTTATATCTAATGGTTGGTTAAATCTTCTCATTGATATTTACGACTGTGATTGATCAGTTTCTTTTGGCATATATGCATACTACCTCAATATTACCATTAAGTCACAAGCAATTTTAAGCAATGGAATTCAGGATGGATGTTTCGTTCTATTCAGACTCGTCAACTGTGCCTACCTGAATCTCAGAGTTGATGTTCACTCTGGGACTCGAACCGGCTACTGATTCCAATAGCTAAGTAGGTAGTGTGATGGTAGTTATTCAATTATTATAATCAAATTATTTAAGACACAAAATTGAAACTAAGACAATTGTGATTTTTATAAAGTTGAAAGAAAGTGAATATTTTTTTGTTAAACTTTCTGGTTGTTATTTTTATATAGTGGATTTCGTTCAAAATCTCATCTTGCTCATTAGAAGATTTATCTGAAAATTCAGAATTAGTGGTATTGTTGTATAAATATCATTTTTTTTAAATTTGACAAAACATTCTTTTGTTCACCTGGACCATCTATAAATGATAGAGAAATTTCATTTTTAACCGCTGATGTGAAAAAACGTAGTTTGAAAATACTGTTTTCAAACTAAGGTCTGTGCATTCTATATAGTGTTTGTCTGCAAAATACATCCAGTTTTTCAATGAAAGAATCATTAAATTTGGACTCGTCTATCTACAAATGTCAAAGAGTTAGTCACCTCAAGCAATTTCGAAGTACAATATGCATATAACAATGTCTACTTGTTAAGTCCTATTTAATGGTGACTGGAATGAAATTTCCTCCTTTTATTTGCTATTACCAGTTGCTTTTGCTATTTAACAACAACGCTAAAACTTTAATTTCATGACTCAGAGTAATAAGAGTTATTTGGTTTCGAAACATTTGCAGAAATTAAATAAACGTTAAGACGAAACATAAATGATTACTTCATGGAATCTTCAAGTTGATTTTATTTTGTTTCGTTATCATCATTATCAATGATTCTTCTACTTCAAAAATATTTTTTAGAGTAGAAACGGTATTTTTATACACACAGAGGTGAAAAACAACAACAAAAGCATGCACAATGAAAAGTTAATAAATTATTATTATCTTATTTACAAAACGTGATCACATGGTAGCACCTACAAAATAAATTCAGCTACAATAGAGAACCAGAAACTGTTTAATAAAAAAATGTAATTATCGATTATCTTATATAAATTCAAATCATTAATTATGTAAGTTAGTATAGACGCGATGGAACAACAGATATTTTCACCTTAGATTTCAGCATCGCAGAATTTCAAGAAGTTGGTTCGAAGAAATTGGCTCTCTTCCAACAAATCAGATGCATTTAAGAGAAATAACATACTAACTGCTAATCACCAATAGTTCTAATAATCGTTAATTATCAATGTACCATTCTAGAGCAGTTATAGACCAGATATCGCTGGATCGGTTGCCGATCAACAACCGATTAGCGTGTATATTTTAGTTTTACCGGAGTTGTAACATGTTTCAAGCAGACTGATCATGGGATTTATTACTGCAATACTATGTGATGTAGGCTTGTATCCACTAAGGGAGCAAAGATCGTTGATATGACTTGCTAATGATGACCAAGAAGAAGGAATTCGAGCCTCAAGACTCTTCCAATAACTAACAACCACTCACAACTAAAAGGCGTATATTTGACGACTGTTTTCTTAAGGTGAATTTAAGCAAAACAAAACGTAAACCTCTTCATTGCAGGGAATAGTATAGTTTAATAAATGAAGTAACTTCTAAACATACCATTTCCACTTATTAGAAAGTCAAATCCAGAATTTCTATCAATACGATACTTTAGTTTCACATCAACCAGATCATAAACACCTGATAATGCGCCAACAGGTGAACCAACACTACTCCAACCCTCTTCACCAAACTCGTACATTTCTGGTGTACGGTTCCAGTAAAAATCAATTGTCCAATCTCTTATCAAACTGTTCTCATTTCCACTACGATTGAGTGGAAGAGAGAAACATCGAAGAAAATTGTCACAGCATGATGAATTCGTTGTTACTATTATCAAATTATCTGGCTCAACATATGGTATTTTGATTTGTTATTACTGTTATTATCCGATATATTGCTGTTTGTGTTGTTATGATTCATCAAAAAGATTTATCCAAAATGTAAGAAATCTCATCTTTCGAAGAATATTTCTCTGTCAAATCGATAGGAATTCGATAACAGGTTGTCTAAAACATTTTAAACCAAAAGTCAAATATTTCGTGGTAATACTATAATTAGTTTTTAAAAAAGAGAATGCATATTAGTGCCAAACAAAAAGTGCATCGAATGTGAAATACTGATCTTTTTTAGCATGAAACTGAATAAAAACCACCACTAGCTACGTTGTTCAGTTCATAAAAATTATGTGCTAAAGTCAATGTAAAAAGCCAGGTCAATAAAAACTGTTTTTCAAATAAAATATAAATATAGTTGACATTTTATTTCAACTATTCAATGCTTACTGTTCAGTGTAAAATTTGAAATGATTCTGGTAAATCAGTAAGATGAATATTGTTTTAATGAAGTTAGACCAAAACATACCATGAACAAATGAAATTTTTCGCCCTTGGCTTCACATCCAGGCTAAACTTTTCACTTATCAAAATTCATAACTCTAACATAACCTACAATCAATCACTTGTTTCTATTTTACTACAACTTTACAGTAATTAGATAGTCAAATTAAATAAACAACCTCTACGTTTCCCTCAAAGTGGATACATGGAAGGCGATATGAAACTTTTCATATTCATTATAAGTGTAGCAACTAGTACGTGAAATAACAGGAAAATAATACTGGTAACTTTACTGCCTCCGTTAGATAATTAACTACTACAAATCGTTGAGCAGCAAACTTTATTTCCTCCAGTTACAGAATCTAGCATGAGAAATCAATTGGGTCATCGTTAAAGGTGGAAAAAACATTTCACTGTTAAATATTTATTCCCAGTAAGGGAGATTTGTGGAGATTATTGTGGATCAAAGTAGAATTCATGAGTCGGTCTAAGCTAAATCACTACTGAAAATCTGGAAACACTGAACGACCATTTTGTTCTAGTACGGAACTCGTCAGCAGTGAATTCCCACGATCTCGCACAATGGATGACGGGTTGCACAAGATCATTCATCAATTGAAGTTAGATATTAACACCGTTAGATGCCAGCTCATTGGTATCCGCACGCGGAACCGAAGGCCCTGGGTTCAAGTCCTCTGTTCAGGGTGGTGTTCTAGCGTAGATCAACTTGTGATTTCTACTGTGGAAATATTTATCAGTCATATAACTGGCATAGCGAGCAATGAGTGGAGCGTGAATGCGGTTGAAATTATTTGCGGATAATTGTCCATAACATATCTCAGACACAATAAGTGGCAAATGTAACAATAATCATCACCATAAGAATTATTAAGTGGTTCTGAAATCATAGAAGAAATGTTGACTAAAAAACATAATAATGGATCTTTATATTATGTAAAGGTGAAGTTAATGTTTACATAGCGGATGGTTTGAAATATATTTTTCTCTCTCAGGCTGGTAATTCTTCTAACTGAACTCCAGATTCTGTTTCCTAAGCTCTCTAGTATCCCCCTCAGGCTAATCTACATAGCAACTTGAACACGAGAGAAAAGGCGCGAAATATAGAAAGAACGCTTCACTCCAAAATTCGTTTGTGTACAGAAAATTCAGGGTATCTATAGTATGTTAAGTGGTCTTGGGCTTTCGGAAATTTCTGGAACACTACTAAACATAGTAACAGCATAGCTGATAATCAAATCAGAAACGTGAAATGTGACTTGTCACTTTCTAGATGTTTCTGGCAAAACTTCTATTGCATATTGATTTGATAAGATGTTTCTCAGAGTCTTCAGAACCTTTTTGACTTTTTTCAAGGAACTTTCTGGATCGCCGGAACATAGGTATACAGCGATAATATGTTAATATGATAGTGAAACTTACTTACTTACGCCTGTTACTCCTCGTGGAGGAGCATGGGCCGCCCACCAGCACTCTCCATCGAACCCTGCCCCGAGCAATCATTTCCAACTCTTGCCAGTTGTTATTCATCCTTTACATATCTACTTCTATTTCCCGACGTAATGTGTTTTTTGGCCTTCCTCTTTTCCACTTCCCTTCAGGATTCCAAGTTACTGCTTGTCTCTTGATGCAGTTTGGTGGTTTCCTCAATGTTTGTCCTACTTTCAACGTTTTTTTCCTAATTTCCTCTTCAGCTGGTTTGTTCTTTCCCACAGAAGGCTGTTGCTGACGATATCCGCCCAATGGATGTTGAGTATCTTGCGTAGACAATTATTTAAATACTTGTACCGTCTTGATGATGGTTGTGGTAGTTCTCAAAGTTTCAGCTCAGTACACTCGAACTGTCTTGACGTTCGTATTGAAGATTTTGATTTTTTATTGGTTTAAAGTTTTTTGAGTTCCATATGTTCTTTAATTGTAGGAATGCGGCCCTTGCTTTGCCAATCCTCGCTTTTACGTCTGTATCGCATCCTCCATGTTCATCGATGATGCTTCCCAGGTATGTGAAGGATTTCACATCTTCCAGAGTTTCGCCATTAAGTGTGATTAAGTTGGTGTTCCCTGTGTTATATTTGAGTATCTTGCTTTTTCCTTTGTGTATTTTGAGGCCTATTGATGCAGAGGCTGCTGCTACACTAATTGTTTTTATTTGACTTTGTTCGTATGTATGGGATGGGAGGGCTAGATCATCTGCGAAGTTCAAATCGTCTAATTGGTTCTGAACTGCCCATTTTATTCCGTGCTTTCCCTCAGATGTGGAGGTCTTCATAATCCAGTCAACCACCAAAAGAAAGAGGAAGGGGGAGAGTAGACAGCTTTATCTGACTCCGGTGATAGAGAGACTAGTCACGCTATATTAGATCCATGATTCATGGCCCAGAATAGAGGACCAGATTAACACTAGGTAATACTTTATCCAACAAAATCACAAACAGTTACACCCAGTAAGTCCGGAGTAGAAACTAATGAGAGGAAAGGAAATCACATATTTAATAGTCCGTAGGATGTGCGTTAGGTAGTTTTGTTATCTGAGCTGGATGGTTTGGTTGGTGAGCTTTCATTGCTCTTCTGAACAATATCATCAGCACAAACATCAAGTAGAAGTAAAGTGTTTGAATTTCTCCACATCTGACTCACAGCTTGTCCTGTCAACTTCGATGTTCATTGGTTATTGTTGACCTTTAACCTATCATTGCCTAACATTATTTTGACTGTATCTCCCTTTGATTTGATTCTTAGTACTATATCTGTGCATGTTTTTTGATTGATTGATTGATAGATTGGCTCGATTCCAATGTGTTTGTTGATTCACCTAAGTACCAAGCTTCTAAAAATCCCCTGATGCTTTCGGTATTCCCTCTATCTAATATCTCAACATTTTTCCAGTCAAAAGCGTGTCCGTAGTTGCTCAAACGCATTGATATGAGGGAAGATATGTCACGGCTTTTGACCGCTAAACAATGTTAGTGCAGGAGAAGATGAAGTGGGCGCCCAATTTATCCAATATAGTATTTTTCTTAGTCGTAACAGTTTATTTTATAGGTGATGTTCGGTTTTTCTTCTTTTATCATACCATCCTTTGTTTTACATAGAATTGTTTGAAGTGATTTCGCTGGTTTGTTTGCTACACCTATTCCTAACGGCTTTAATTATCTCTTAATTTCTGACATATCTTTTATATATGATAGGATGATCCATTGGTTGTTTTCTGTACTTGACTTCGTTTCTGATGACGAGTTGAGTTGATACTTTTTGGTGAATTCGAATGGGTAGGTGTTCTTTTGAAAGATAGTCACTAGATACTTTTCTTTATTTTCCCGCACTGCAGGTGTGCTGCAGTGTATTCCCAACCTCCTGAATAAGTGTTGTGCACAAACCATTTTGTGAGTTCTTGGGTTGTTGCTCAGATCAGATTGTTAGTGTTTTACATTTCGTCTTTTTGATGATGATGCGTCGACCACATAAAGAATCGGCATTTTCGGCTTGATCTTTGGTTAGATCGAGGCTTTAAGTCTCTGCATTGCTGCTCCCGCAATAAGTCCTGATACTGATGATTCCACCGGTGTTCCTTTCGTTTTTTCGTAGATTTTGTTGTTGAATTGATAGTATGTTGTTAGGCATAAATCGATGAGTTCTAGTAAACTTTGACTTTGAAGCTTTGTGTACTTTGGAAGATATGTGTCTTTGTTAAGGAGCAGGGATCAAATTTCTTTTCCTAGGTTTGGTTTAATTGAAATGAATAGGGCTATTACATTGAGGGATATCATAAAATCATCGTTGTTGATTTGAATCTCCTTAACCTTATACAAGAACTGCATGATAGATTTGATGGATTGATTGAATGAATCCACTAAATGCTTCAATATTCTTTAAATTTCTCTCGATAAATTGTATGTTGTATGGGAGTGATACAGTTGGACATAGTAAAATGTTTGGATGTGTATTTTCGAACTACCGTAGAATCGAGGGAGTACTGCTTTACTGGATTTTATTTTCCATTGATCTTGAATTAATATTTGTCATCTTTTTATAAGCTTGTTTAAGTCCTTGAAATTTGGTTGTCTAACCTTTTGATTGGATTTGTGTTCATTAATTTATTCACGTTTTATCCTCAAGCAAACCCCCGGCTTTCCTGATACATTCTTCTTTGTCCATAATTACTGTAGTGAGTCGTTTGTCCGCTGGAACTATGACAATATCTCTAGATTTTATTTTCTTTGGGGCTTTTTCTTCTTCTGATGTCAGTTGAGTGTTTTCTTTCTTCTATCAAGTTAACGTCACTATGCTTCGTCTTATTTCCTTTTGAGCTTATGTGTTCACGTTCAGTGACCAATCACATCTTAAATTCGTTACCATATATCACATATATACCTTCTTTAAATTTGAAGTTAATGGTCATGATTCGTAAGTGGAAATGAAATATGATTTTTAAATTACAAGCGCCATATTTTCAGAATAAACATAAAAGTACAGAATAACAGAAACCTTGAACACGGTCAAACTAAATACGCATGAAACTATACTTTAAATAATTTTCAGTTAAGCTATAAAAAATAAAACTTACCTCTTTCGAACGATTGTTTGTATATGTAATAAGAAAATAACCGCGAAACTCCAGAAGAGCACATAACTGATGAAAGTCATCTTGAGAGATAACGGTAATTCTATTTAATGGCGGTAAACGTGAATTTCTTGAACTTGAATTCATTGTTCCACTTTGTTGATTATTGATGTTCAAATTAGCATCCTTCAATTCAATACACTCAGTTACATTAACTGAATTAAAAGAGTCTGAGTCTTTTGCAGTGTTTTGTTGATTATTCTTCAACTCCTGTTGATACTGAAGTGTTGATTTAACTGAGTAAGTAAAAAATAAACTATTTATAAAAAGATTAAACAATATATTGCTTATTCTTCGAATTCATTGCCATTAGGATTTCTCTCGATTACGACTGAACATTACTAACGTGACACTAATCATTGTGCGTGTATTCATCAAAATATGGTGGTAGAAACAATTCTTCTCCATGAATAGCTTCTAGATTATGTGACCCAGTGTGATAAAATCCCAAGAAATTGTCCGCGTGAGGAAATCAATATATGCACTAAAGGCTAATTACTCTTCGAACGAGCATTCCAAAGCTAACTCTAAGTGAAGGGAAGTAAATTTGAAATATCTACTATCCATAGACAAGCAAATTTTCGAATTGGCAAATTTGACTGAAGCACTTTTCCAACATAATATCGAACGTTTTCAGAATAGTCTACGTGCTTAATGAAACTCAACCTCAATCAGAATAAGTAACTCTTGTTTAAATATCAAGTAAATGATAAATTCATATTAGGTCGAAGATAAGTGTTATAACATAACAGTGTGGTTTAATTGAAGTAGACCGATTACAAACACTAAATATTGATATCATCAGTTATGTTTCTAGCCACAGAAAATTACAGACTACTCAAAAGTCAATTAAGAGTAAAAATACTCTTGTGTATACAACATATAAAAAAATCTTATTAGATTCTTATCCAAAAATACCCACCATAAAATGTTAAGTAAATACAAATAAGACAAAAGTTATAGTCTTCATCAAATGAAAATAACAAGATTCATCTATAAACATCCAAATTACTGCAATGGCTAAAAATACTTAATTTTGATTAAAGAATAATTATACCTCATTTATTAGCTGATTTATCTCATGAATAATGCCAAAATACCAAACATTATATTACATAAAGTTCAGTCTGTTACACTGAGGATTTTTATATACAGTTAAAGCAAGTATGGATATTTAGGCTAAAAATTATTTCTAAGATGAATTTGTCATGAATTGGTATCTACCAGGAAAATAAAGAAAATGAGGCACTTCTAGACAGACGAATCACCACAGTGTATGCTAACGAACCTAAGAACATTCAGACCTTAAGACGAGTGGATCATCTTTACACTAGGAAGTCAGATATATTCCATATGTTTCTTATGATAACGTAAATAATATCAGTCGGTGACCAAAAATATACAAATTCAAATGATTTTTCACATATTCACTAACAATTAACACCTGAAAACTTCAGCTTAATCTCAATAAGTCGTAAATAACTATGAGTAACGCTAGTTATTCATTTCATACTATAGTTGAAACAAATCGGAAATTATGTAATCTAATCGAATCCGTTAATGAATTACCTTAACTGATATATAGTTCACTTCAGTATAGTGAGAAAACTACTTAATAGTTGAGTTCATGAGTCAATTAAAGCTAGACCACCATGGAAAACTTGGAAGCACTGTTTGATAAAAAGTTGATCAAGCAAAAAATTTTGTTGTAGAAAATTTTCTGTCCAAATTTAATTTTCAATAAAGTGACATAACGATAAACAAAAAAACTATTTAGGACATGGCTAAATGATACATGAATTCAAGGTGCTGACTTTTTCATTTGAAGAGTTGGACTAAAGCAATAGACGGTAAAGATCACCTAAAATGGTTTAAAACAAATACGGAACTATCATCAAAACCCTTTATTATTTAGGTTATTAACTTTGTAAACGATCATTAACAAAAAACCGTAACAAAAAAATAAAGTGAAACCATTTTATTTTAACGACTTTTCAATGAAAATTAGAAATCGCTGACTTAACTAGACACACTTTACATACATAACTATATTATTGTAATAGTGATACACTACACACCACAACTGCTTATTATCTTAAAGTTCCAAATATACTTACCATCTTATATCTAGTTTTTCTTTAATTAAAAAGACTACTTTCAGATATGACAATGGATTATTAAAATGAAAAAATTCAGGATAAAAATGCGCATTATGCCAGTAATTTTATCCTAACTCAGTTTATAATAATATGGTAAAACTAAAACTTTTAAACTTTGAATTATTTTTGCGTGCTGAAAATAACAGTCGAACAAAACATTTGCACTGAAATTTGGATCCAGTTTCATTAGTCTATCACTGACACATATGTAGACAGAGTATTATAATCTGCCAAGTTCTTCTGTTAATCACACATATATCATATAGCCAGTAACTTGATCGAAGGTTTGTAAAATATATAAATTTGACTAGGTTCCCTTTGTAAATTAATCTCGTCTAGATGACAATGAAACACCAATTGTTTTAGTTATGTTCATAAATATCTTCAAGGAAATTTGTTATATGAAATGAAACTGTCTGAAACTTCACATTAATCAAATATAAGATTTCGTATTTCTACCAATACATAGGTTAAACCAAATATTGAAATATTATTCTCAATGGTGGACAAATATTGTAGCCCATAATGACACTGATAATTAGTCGGCGATATTTTCCAAGAAAATATTTTTTATTTCTTAATACTCAACAGAGTAAGAGTCTTTTTCGTTAAATGATAGTCCGCGTGTTGCAATATATTCAAGTGAAATGAAAATAGATAGCCTCAAAAGTCCTACACTCCATGAGAATATTGCACTGAAAAGTAATTTTTCTACCGAGAATATGTAATCCATTTTGAACCATACCACTTTTATGACCGCCTGTGACATTACTCGCTTGTTTAAGTTAAAAAAGAAGGAGTAGGGTTCGAACTTGAGAATTATTGGGTAAAATTGAACTATTTTAGCCCATAAGCCATCTATGCAGTATTAGGCTCGAACAGACATTATGTTAGAAGAAAGGAAGTTGATAACGATTAATTATCATTCTGTAATCATTGATAAGCAAAAATAACAAAAAAGAATACTAACACTGACAAAATTGTCAAAGAAAAAACAATAATATTTATGTGCATTCGTTTAAAGGTCTATAAATGTTAGTTTATATTGGCCAGTGTAATACAATGCTCTTTGATAGCAATTCGAAGCACAACCACTGAACATTTAGTAGACTATACAACTTTTTTTTTAAAAAAAATCGAATATTTATTGAATTATTATTTTCATAAATAATATTACTGTAATATAATTAGTTTAACAAGTTTATTACAACTTTACAATCACATAGATACTAACAACTTTAACAATAATAATTCACATGGATATAAATATGAAACTTGACAGAAGTTTGATTTTTCGTAGTTGAACAAAATAAATAAAAAAATCAAAAGTATTAATCTATAAAAATATTTTATTCTCTTCATAGTCATTCATTTACTTCATCTCATATCTTTTATTTTTAAATTATACACATATATATATATGAAGAGAGAGTAAAAATAAGGGAACACTAAAGATATTTCACTTCTGTTACAACAAATTAATGTGCAATAAATATTGAAGATCATGTACATGCACCAAAGCATGAAAAATTAACAAATAATGAATATATAATTAATTTTTTTTTTTAAATTAAGAACTAAAACTGCTAATCACAAATAAAGAGCATTGCATACAATAAATTTATTAACAACAGTGATGCTCGACAGAATAAGTGTTAACAACGTGCATAAAAGTTCAATGTTTGAAAAGCAGTGAACCTGATAAGGATTCTGTAGATGATACAATAAGCCTATATTTACTTAGATTAGTTACTCATGTACAATAAATAAAACAAATTCGTTTAGTGCTGCTTCCGTTTACGATGAGCCAAATAAGCATTTATTCCAAATACTGAAACAATAAGTACTACCACAACAAGCAATGAAACTCCAGTCAACGCTGTAATTGGTATATTACTCTTGAAGTCACGTGGACAAACTTCTCGTAAGCCTAGAAAAGATTAGAATATAATTGAATGACGTATAACAAGAATAACAGTATCCTTACGATCTGGTCTAATTGTTTCTTCGGCTTTAAATGCTTGAAATGTCATTGAATCAAAGACAATCTCAACATTGTGACCAAATTTAATTGGTATTTCTGTATCACACACATACACTTCATCAGTACGAGTTAAAAATTTTTGATCAGACGAAGTGGAAACTATATTTGTAGAAAATAAAGGAATCGGTTAAGTAGACGTTATGTTCAATTTAACTGTTCCATACATACTTTTGGCTTCAGAAGTAGGTAATTCAGATTGTGATAAAGTGGATAAAGGCTCAGCGAACTGATATATTAATGTCATATTTGTCCATGCAAAGTATTCCTCATCCTGCTCTACTGTTAACAACAAAACACATTTCTGTAGTTTGGAACCTTCTGTGGACATAACCAAATTAATACTAATTAGTTGGTTATCTGATTTTATAGTTTCATTTGTATGTACATTAGATGAGGTTGTCTTCGGAATAAACGTATAGTTCTGTAGTTCACCAACATTTCCATCCACCTACATTTACAATAAAATAATTTTGACGGTATCATTTTAAAAAACAGATGCTCACGCTTTCACTGACTGGATAAAAGAAACGCAGTTTCCAATACCATTCTCCGGAAACGTAAGGTAGATCAATGACGGATACTTTCCCATTTGATGAAACTGTCAAACAGACACAACCTGTGAGATACAACAATAATAATCGTAAGATAACTGCATGCATATTAAAAATCAACATAACGTATGGTACACATACTGAAAGACAACTAACATCGAAATTTTAGAACACAACATATTCAGAGGACAATGTACATTCAAACAAAATTGGATAAAGAAAAATAAAAGTAAAGTAGGACTTTATAAAAGTTCTCAATAGTTCAACTTCCCACACTTCACATTAGCATAAGGAGAAGACAATAACAAGAGGAAAAGTATGGAAGAAAAAATGATAACACCGACAGTGGTTGAAATCTAGAAACATGTAAATGACGCAAAATGAATAGCGAACAATTATACTGTTTTCAAAGGAAAAACAAAGAATTAATATATCTTCATTGGTGCGGTCAATCTTCATCAAGAAATTACTTCATGGACCTCAAATAGTGAGTTGACACATTCTGAAACGATGCTAACTAACAGTAAATGTGTTCACCAATCATTAACATCCGGTCTAGTTACCCTTAGCCTTTCTAAAACCTACTGTCATTTCACTACGCATAATGTTTGATTACTTTTGTTAAATATCAAATATCCCAACTGCATTAATTAATTTACCGATTTTACTTAATCAGCAACCAATGCCAATTACATTTATTAGTGATAGAGAGGTTAAGAGAATTCTAAACATGTCACTTGTCACTTTAATTCAATAATATAATATATTTCAATGGTTAAGATAATGAGTCAGTTGAAGATAAACCACCATGGTGGTCTGATATTAATACAATATATCACAATAAAATATTGAATTTTACTTTCATGGCTGGGTTTCATTCTTAGGAAATGGCCAATTTTGTAAGCTTAATGCTATTTGCATAGTTTTTCTAGCAACCAAGTCTAAGTAGTGACCAGGTTAAGAAGAACAATCAGTTCTCTATCGGTATAACCCAAAACATTCTACAAAAATTTCGAGCATAAAATAAGAACGCTTTAAAATCGCATTAGGTAGCTTACAGACTTAAAATTATGATCTTCAAACCAAATGTAGACCAATCTACTTAAAATATCGCAATTCTCAGTTGTTAATTCAGACAAACACAGCCTTAGAATTACAACTGTACTTAAGACTCTCAAAAATACTGAATCAAACCAATTTGTGTCATCACGAGCATTTTCCACACTTAACAACGTTGATACAAAACTATCTTTCATAACTGCATTTGGATAATTACTGCTGCATCCCGATAAGAATAATGAACGTTAATTTTTGGGATCCATTTATGGACCAATATTATTAGCATATTTTTATCGTATAATTGTTATGTAACTGAACTGTTCATATTCGTGTCCCTCTTATTGTGAGCTATATTTTGACCCATGAATTATTATTATACGATTTACCATTCATGAATTATTCCCTGTCTGTTAATCGCTACCTCCCTCATGCACAGCCACATCTGGCTAACTCTTGTACAAATGTTGTTTCATATTCTATTGGTAAGTTGTGGTCGGTTTGTTTGGTATATAAACCCAGTATGCTTGAAATATAATGATTTATATCTCAGAGGCTGAGACTTGCATTCTGGACTCAACTGGCTGGGCTAGACAGGGAGGTGGGACCAATTAGAACTCTAGGCCGTTTTTACGTGTTTACGAGTCTTTGGTCCGATCGATAATTTGCTGCCGTCTAATCCACAGTCACAAGTTATAACAAATACGTGTTATCATACACAGTAAACTGTCAGGTCTCACAAAAGTTTCCAATAATGAGAAAACCAACGCAGATATCATACAAATCAGTATTCATCTTGGAAAAAAAGGTGGGAAAAACCTGTCATTTTTCCGTGTTTCATCGGAATCGAACTTGACATTTATTTAGAAACCATATTACTTACAGAATAAAATTACCAATGCTCGTGTAAGTCTCGATCATCGTTCTATTTATTTTAAAGACTTGTTTATGTTCGAAATCATTCTGTTTATATCATGTAACAGGTAAATCACAAATTTGAGCTAAAACTGAAGGGTGAAAACTACTACCTGTGTAACATGACTATGGAATTTTCAACTTTGTAAATAAAGCAATCATTGATGTTGTAGCTGCCAAATTATGGAACTCAATAAATCAATTTAAAATTTAATCAGTCGGCCGATATAAAACTTCTTAACCATTTAGTAATTTAAACACTCAAGACAATAAGTTTTAAATCAAAGATAATTAAGTGAACCATTTCATTTTAAAAAATAGTTGAGAAAAACTGGTCGAGAGATTATATTTTTCTGTAGATATTCGGTAAACTAGACCACTGAATATAAAATTAACTACATGTGACTTTACCATCCGAATTAACTAAGGTGAACTGTACAAGCAAGAGAAGAATTATTGGAAACAAAACGCTCAAGGAAAATACTTTGACAAAAACTATATCTAGTAGTAGAAAAGTTGTTCAAATTTTAGAGGTAGTTAGCAGAAACCTATATAACCAAATGTTATGTTTGTCATTAAACTGGGTTTGAAATCTCACTAACAAGAAATAAAAAGGAGATGGATGCTTTTTAGTAATCCAAACGTCCGTTACTCAGCCGACAATCAGGAATTCGAGAACAAAATTTACTCGTTAAGACTAGTCTGGTTTTAAAAATAGTCATTGATCATTAATCGATCATAAACTTTTGTCTTAAGACCTGACGGAACTTTCAGAGCAGATAAGGAACATATAATTCACTTGATATTTCCATATCTTAACACTTATCCACTTGTAATTGCAGGACGACATTAGTTCTACTTTAGTGTCTGCGCAATTATGTAAAAACGAATGTGTAATCATATCCACAAATTCCGCTTGCTAATTTATGACTTTAAGAATAAATTCTCTGTTGAGAACACGACACATCAAATATTTTTTTTCTGTCCATTTAATTGCCCCTTGACTTCACTTATTTCACAGTTAGCTACTTAATCATGTTACGTTAATTTTAATTTCGTTTCTCATCCTTTTTTATAGTTTTGAATTCCCTAAAATTAAGACACTAATAAACCTTGAGTAACTGACGAGAGAATGAGCGACTTGGTGAGCCTTAATAAAGTTATCTAAATACGAAAGATAATGAATAACATAAAGTGTCAAACAATAAGCTATATTTCAGTTAAATCACCAAGTTAATGGTTTATCCAAATAGCAACCATGCGTATCGAAATTATTGTTTATAGAGGATACAAATGAAAGCTTTAAAAAATATATAGAGACTTATCAACAGAAACAGGGCTGAACAGATTCTTTAAACTTGTCATCTTCTAGGTAAAATATTCCTTACATTCTCTGATCACTATGATAACAATCACATAACAGTTAACTACCGATTGATAACTACGTACTACGTGACTCTAAAAGCTACACATTTGACTAGAATGCCTTAAGAATAACTGATGTATCATGGTGTGATTTTAATTTCATTTTCATTAATATCGATTACATCAAGGCCATGCTCGTTGTAGTAGGGTTAGTTTTTGTATGCTTCAACAATGATTCAGGTTAAAATAAGATCCTCTCAGTATCAGAATATAGGAAACGTGACTTCCGAATTATGTCAGTTGACTATATATATTCTGCTATTTTAATGTTAATAGACTTACACATACACAAAAATATCTTAACTAGAAAAACAACTGATCTGTTGCTAAATACAAATTATAATCTATAAAACGATTTAGTTGGATTAAATCACGTAATAATGTGTCAAATTACTACATATATAACAATACACATCACGCATTTGTGCTAGATATTTTATTAGCCAGTGAAAACATTCTTAAGCACATATTGTTGACACTATATGATAACAACAACAGTGTCTCTATTCATAGTCGATAAAAAAAATCTATCATTCTTACATGGTATTCAAAAACCAGCATAAAATACAGTGATATGACATGTTTATAAGCCTATAATCATACAATCTTGAATAGTTAAGAGTACTACTACTTTTTAATGTGTATTGAAAAATAGATGATTTAGGGAGATTTACAGGACGATAGTTATGCAGTTAAAATGATGACAGCACTAAATCCAAGTACTAAGAGTAAATAGTAAGTAAAGTGAGTTACTCAGGTCGAATGCATTGTATATCGTCTAAGGGCTTCAAGAAAATACTAGCATATTACAATCATAATTAGGTAACACTTAGAGAAATTAGGCACATCAGTGAAAGTGACTATTTGTATGCAATATGACTACCACAAATGTAATCTTTTCTATGTAAAAACTTACAAAAAACCAGAACCAAAAGTTAGAAAGCCTCACGTATTGTTAGGTTCTCTTCACTTTGACTGTCTTAGCTAGTCAGCCAGTCAGTTATAAATTGATCGACATTTAATACAAAATGTGCATCTATCTAAATTGCCACAATTTGCATCAATTCAGAGGCGATAAATAAACAAAATGAAAAATAAGGGTTTAAACAATCATAAGTTTAGTGACATTTCAGGAAAAACATGGGAAGTAAATATTTAGAAGAAACAATTAAAACGACCAGCAGGCATGAAATGAGACAAACTCAAATATGGAGAAGTAGAAAAAATAAGTAAGTCTGCATGACTGAAACTTCGAGTCATATTAAAAAAATTTCTGATTACAAGTTAATTTTTTTCTTCTAATATGATAGTCCACGATTGTCAACACATTTCGGAAAACCAAGGGAGTACTTTGTGAGCAGATGTCATGTTTTTTTGGTCACCTTCCACCTGTTCATATTCAACCAAGCACCGCAAACTAATTTACGCAATGCTTAGTACATGTTTTGTAAATAATAGCCAATCAACTTTATGAAACCTTAAAACCTCAATAATTGGATTATTACAGCTTTTCCGTCCACATATTAGGTTTCATGGTCAACTAAGCCTTCTATCTGATTTGCTTGACTTATTAAAGGCAAATAGGTAACAAGCACATTTAGTAATTATTTTCCCATTTTATGAGTTGATTATAATTTTAATTTTAGAGCTGTGGTTTGTCAACCGCAATGAGAAAACCATAAAAGCAATTTATGCGGTGACAACTGACCTTCCTAACTATCAAAACAAGTAAGCACAGTCAGGGAATAACCTAAAGACATATACTAGACTTCGAGACCAAATTCAGTTTCAGATATTCATTCAAGGAGTTGAACATACAGACACAACTCAGAACACTCTAAGGGACTCTTGTTAGTAACCTTATCAATGTACATAAATGTGAAAACACATAATATTGTTAAACAGTAGTAGCTATTACAAAATTAGAATAGATAAAATTTCAGCACTTTACCTATAGATCTAATTGTAGAAATTCATGAAAAAATCAAACGGAGTAAAAATAATAGAACATATCCCTGTGACTGCCTACTTACTTCAGAGTGGCGGGCATTTTTAACCAGGAATCAAACTCACAATGGTGGTTAGTCAATCTTATGTGATAAATGATGAATAGAGGTTTCTTTCACATAAATCATATGAGATATGTTATTCAATATGAAATAAGTCTGGTAAACTATTTTCAATATTAAACTACGACATAAATTGGAACATTTTTTGTTTACACATAGAAATACGCAATACACTTAAATGTATTAAATGAACTTTTGGCTAGTCCGGGTGGGAATAAAAAACATGTGAAAAACATTTCGGTACACCTAAAGCCATAATTACATATAGACTTTCTAAAAGATAGATTATGACAGAATAGGTTATCAAAAGTTGCTCAAGTATCCTTTGTGAACGAATTATTTAGTAAAAGATTATAACGGTTCAAATTATTAGAATGAAATACTATTAGATGAAAAATGAAAGTTTGGAATTAATTTTGACCAAAGAGGTAAGCAAAAAATGTTATGGGGGGAATACCAATCAAATCATCGGTTTCACATAACTCATTGAAGGATTTATTGTTATATTATTCGTACAAGATCTTACATAGATTGTTGAGAAAATCTGTAGTCCGATAGTGACTGTCCAAACTATTTTCAAGAACTTAGTCTTGTCACACAATGTCTCGTGCGGGTTTAACTGGAATGAAATTTGTCAATAGACTATTACTCAACTTAGTCATCTATTTCATAAATTATCTACGAGCCACGTCATTTAGCTGCCTTTCGCATAAAAAGGAAACATAAAGTTTCTCATAATAGTATATGCCAAACGAATCCCAGAAGCTGAAACAAGTATTTTAACGTAACTCTACTTAGTAAATAATGGTTAGTATAGATTTTAGATACTTACTACTTACTTTAAGTATTGAAAAGTTTAAACAGTACTACGAATTTACATAATGTGAACGATTATTTAAGAGGACACCTTCTAACAGTTCAAAAACTAAGGTCGAATCAATCACTTTCGAAGTTGACTTTCTAGCACTATGTAGTGAACTACTAAGGTCCCCAATCATAAAACGTAGCATCTTAATCCTATTTTGATACATTCAAAGGAATACAAGATCTTCACAATACTAAGAATAAAGAGCATTAACTTCCGTTCATTAAAATCGAAAAGCTACATGGAAAGAACTAAGTGCAAAAAGCGATAATAATTTCAAACTCGGACACAACTGTATAATGTCATCAAAGGTGATCGAAACTACATATGTAGGCCTAATGTTTACTGGATAAAGAGAGATTGAGTGTTTTTTACTTGTGCACAGCAGAATAGCTCAACTAGACGTAGCAGCGATATGTGAGAAATAGATCTAGGGTTTGAGCTATGGCATTAGTACGTGAAGTCAGTGAGCAATAGTCCTGCTTGAGTAACGATTTCCAAGAAAATATAAACTACGACACCTCGATGAGGTAGGGAAGATTTGACATTGTGAATGCACCAGGAGCGTTGGAAAAACCTTCACTATCTGTTCTACCATGAAGATCATATGTAGGCTGGCTGTACTCATTATCAGTTTGTGAAGGTCTGAAATCTCTGGAATAAACTTCACAACGCTGGCCGACATTTGAATTTTCTGATGAATTAGGGCGAAATTTTCCGTTCAGTTTCGCATGCAGCAGCTGTTCGCTAACTTCTTTTCCTTGAAAAAATTTATCGTATGTTTACTGACAGTCACAAGCATTGTTGAATTTCAACATGTGCACGCCTGTAGATTGCGAAAGCACAGAACGACTTTGTATGAATTTGACTGACCTGGCCAAAGAAAATATCGTGTGCGCTTCTGTTTAGTTTGCCAAGCTTTGTAGACTGTATATAGCCAATGAAGTGACTTGACCAGACGAGTATACCTGTGTAAATAACGTACCTTCCAACATACAACAAATCATAAGTGCAGAACCATGATTATTAAACACTGACGACGTAAAAGACACACTAAGAAAGTTTCAGAACATTTCTTTAATTGTGTTGTCAAGTGCGCACCTCCATGAATATGTATATATGCATATACATATGTATTGAATAAACAGTAATTAAAAACGTTCTTTGATCACACGGATAAAATCACTATAATCTTCAATTCCTTGGAAAAAGTCGTACATTTACGAGATGCAGAACAAAATCAAACAATTAAAGATAACTATAGCAGGGTTTCATGGGATATAAAAATTCGATCTTCAAAATGTGTCATTTGACATCATAACCATATAACTCAAACGTGAGAGAAAACAGAATTTAGTTGAAAATCGATTACGGATGCGTTCAAGGGACTTACAAAGCAGCACTGCAACGATGAAAATTGTGTGATGAGCCATTTGAACGCCTATGTTCATTTCGCCAAATACGAAAGTCTGCACAAACCAGTACATGTCTTCTGGTGTAGCTAAACAAATTAATAACAGGCGATTCCGGTAACCATAAATGATAAAACGAATGGTTTATACTTTATTTGTTACAGTCCTATGACAAAAAAGCAAGGCTATCATTCCTTTCCTAATGTTGATAGACAAAAAATTGATTAACTGTATGAGAAGTGATTTAAAAGTCAATTATGTTGTCGCTCTTACTACCGAAGAAGGTAAAGCAAAAATTGAGCCTTCACTTAAGAGGCAAAAAAGAAGTACCATTATGATTGCTTATTGCAATCGTGTAGTGGTAAATAAGTTCCCTAAATAAATAGTCCTGTAAATCTTCACTAATGCTGACCTAATTACTTTTAATTGACTCACCTAGCTGAAGACGTTCGGTCACGTATCCACATCAGATCACGAATGAGTACGCTGTGGTTCATTTTTCCTACAATTGCTAGTCAGCTTAGATTATTCACTTCTTGATATGTCTATATTCTATCAAATATATCTCCGAGTCTCTTCGCTTCTGATTTCACTTGGGTTGTCCCGTTTCGATTATAAAAGGTGTTATTGGTTAAGGTGTCGTCAAAGTCCGGAGACTCATGGGCTCTTTAGTGGTGAGGTAGACGTGATCTGGTACACCAAACAATAAACTGTGAGTCTATTCCTTTTTGGAACTTCATATACTACATATTGTGATTTTTTCATATTTTTGGATACTTTTTCTCGTTCACTGCTATACTTTATATTCATGATAACCGAACAGACTCTTAAATTATTTAAGATCAGGACGCTTTCGTCTTCCGCATTTCAGTTAATTCCATTCTGATCCGATAATGCAGAAGCCTGGTACCTATACGCAAATACTGACCTCCACGTGCACAGTGACAGACACACGTGCACAGATCCTCGCAGTGATGAAGGCACTGTCGAGCGAATCCATCTGGTACGCTATACCTAGTATGTTCACTAGCGATGTTTCGGAACCTTACGCCGTTTTGAGGGAGGCTATTCTTAAGCGCGGAGACCTAACCGACCGAAAATGGTTATAAAATACCAGGGAAAACATGTTGCCACGAATGCAAGAGGTCATTCGTTACTGGATCTTTGACGAGGGCCTGCCCAGACGGCTCTTCTAAAATTCTCCAGTGAGTGCAAGCAGTGCTTGTCTTCTTTCGAAACAACGCTGTTGACGAAGTACCTGCATCTACTGACCGGATTTTAGAGATCAACAGACCCCATTGCCGGGATTCATTCAGTCAAACAAAAGCCTGTAACAGCAGAAAACGACGTCACAGTCCTCTGCCCTCGGTAGTATCATTCGTGCGAAGGAATTCTACAAGGAGAGGGTCTGCCTCCAGACCACGAGTAGCAGATATGTTGACGAACGTTCGCTATCTGGTCGACACGCGCAGAAATAAATGTTGTTCCTACAAATCGTAACGACCGACTGTACGAACCAGTTTTCAACTTACAAGTGGTAAATGAGAAACCGATAGCCATATACGGTAGGAGATATGTGTACTCTAACACGGGTTTACGCAAACTCATTTACTGGATCTTCGTTGCTACAGATGTTTCTATACCAATCAGTGATATAGACCTACCAAAACACCATAATCTCGTCAACATGTACAAGCGGAGGTTGTTAGAAGGAAATACTAAACTATCTGTTTGTGTAACTTGTCTCTCCGGTTGTAGATTATCTCTAGTCACAGCAAGGCACACGATTGATTTGTACTATCAACGGATACTCGGCAAATTATCGAACTGTGCCAAACGCGAAAAAAATTACCGTGTATACGCAGTAATGTCACACATCACACCGCGACTACATGATCACCTGAATTTTCGAGAGCTCGCCCACTAGCTCTCGTAAGCCCAAGGTTGATCAGCATCGAATTCCAGAACATGATAAACTTGGGAACTATCCCGCCGCCAAACAGTTCATGAGCGTCTATCAGCAACGGTTGGTGTCAAACTGGTGATTATCGGTGACTGGATACGAAAGCCACTCCTGATCGTTGACCGTCACCTTACATTCATGATTTGACAGCCACCTTAAAAGGCACGACTATTTTTGAGAAAATCGACTTGGTTAAAGCATATGGCCGAATTCCCATGTCTGCTGACGACATTCCTGAGACGCCTATCGGCACCCCCAACGGATCCAACGAATCTTTTTCATGCCTTTCGAGTTGAGAAATGTTTCATAATTTCACAAATTTATCGATTATGTCTTCAGATGTCTCAGCTTCGTACACGCATACGTCGATCACTGCTTGATCGCAATTTCGGACAGAGAATCTCACCTCCAGCACCTGAGCCTTGCATTTAAACGACTCTCAAAGCACGAAATACTGTCAACATTCAGAAATGTCCGATCAGAGCTAACTACCTACATTTTCTCCGACATACCATTGATGCCCAAGGCATCCACCGTCTGAAAAGCCAAACTGCGGCCATTCTGGACTACCCTGAACCAACCACAGTCAAGCGGTTACGTACGTTTAACGGCCTGGAAGTTCCATCCGGCCATCTGAATTGCACGCTATCATAAGGTAACAACTTGGGTTGATTAGTTAATGGTTGACCTCAAAGAACTAAGTACGTGTCAAAACAATAGAGCTCAAGTGTTCATTCACTTACTTGTTTTGTATTGAAGTTATTATTATTGTTATTCACAAACATCTTATAGCATAAATTTTATGAAGAAACCACATCGAGTTTCTTCAAAAATGAGATAATACACAAGTTTCGGTAATATTAGCATTCATTGCATATATGAAAAAGATGAAAAAACGAAAATGATGACAATAGAATAGTAATAATAAATCAGGTTCTGTGTAAATGAGGAGAATTTTGAATTGACTTTAAAGAAGGAAAGGGAGAATAAAAAGGAAAAGAAATAAAGGAGACATGAAATCTGTGGATAGTTTAATATACGTGTTTATGAACACAGAACAAGAACTAACGACTATGCATGTATCGCCGAATTAGTAACAAAAATAAAATAAAAAATAATTAAGAAAAATAACTTGTTATTGCAGTAAGATATAACGTTCGAATAAGTGTTTGTGCAGCCATAGTTTGGAGTGATGCCATGAAAGTCTCAACTGTGTGCAAAAAACCAAATATCAAAATGTATGACGCTTTTGTGTAAATCATTATTAAACACGCTGATATTCAATAGATGACACAATCCACTTTCAGAAAGAAAATCATCGAGGGAACTTCTGAACAAGGTTTTAGTTTCACCACAACGGAGGTCCACTGGAAGTCCGTTCCACATGGTTGAGTAGCGAATAACGAAAAAATGTCTGGCGTACGTTTGTGTAGGTTCTTGGAATAGCTAGAATATTTTTCTTATTGCGTGGACTGTGGGATGATATTGTAGAGATGGAAGGGACGATACCGAAGAATCGAAAATACAGTTAATAAGCTAGTAGATAAAGACAATGTTTAATTTGAAACATCTGGTCTAGAGAGGTTCTAATTTGAGTTGTTGACACCTTTGGTGATAGTTTTTGTTGTTGGAATAACCCGTGACAGCATTGGTGAACCTTCAGGTCATTATGCCTGCATGTTACTGTATAACTAAAATTCATATTAAATATATTGTTCTTTCTGTAAGACTACATTTTCTACACGTGTATTGGTAATTGATTCGATACAGTTAGTTGAGTGTAGTCGATGGTGTGACTTCCACGGAAGATCTTTCTAGATTAGGCAGTTATATCATGACAGATGCTCAGAAAAGTTCAGAATGTCGCTCTATCTTAAACCCAAGTCACAAACAGTGTTGAGAGGTTTCAGTGTGTGTGTATGGCTGGATTTAGGTTAGTGCATCGGCTAATGCGAATAAATCCACTTTTATCAACATTAAGTGGCGAATTCCAGGAAACGGTCCATTCGTGCAACTTGTTTATTTCTTCTTGGATAGCATTTTTGGTAGGAAAAGAAAATGAACAAACCACCTTTAGGTCATTGGTAGAATGGAAGGGTTCGCCAAATTGAACGAGGAAACACACCTCACTGATAAAAAGGAGAAAGACTAATGGACCAACCACACTTCCTTGAATAACCCCACTGGTTACATTCACAAGCGGACGATTTGGCTACGTTCTTCCAAAAAACATTTCGGTCAAGACCAAAGGGGATTCTTTATTCTAAATGAAGACAGTTTAGGAGAGGACGCTTGCATGAGACACTATCGAAAGCCCTACTAAAATGGATGTACAGAGTTATCAATGACCGATCAACATCTCGTCTCTGGGTAATTTGATCTAAAAATCCGGTTGCAACGTGGAGCATAAGCTTTCACCTTTACTTTTTATTGCTCTTCACATCTTGACATCGTCAGCATATAGCAAAACCGGTGATGATAGGATACTGGGAAGGTCATTTACATACGAGAGGAATAATATTCGTCCCAAAACTGTACCCTGAGGCACTCCGTTAAGCACATTTCTCAGCAAGACAACTCCAATTTCAGCCGTACTCTTTTTTGATGGCTAACTAGGTAGTATTTTATCCACATTAATAGGTTGCCTCCAACCCCAACATTTCTTAACTTATATAACAGCCTGTTGTGAAGAACTTTGTCAAAAGCTTTGCTGAAGTTAATGTAGGCTATGTCTATAGGTAACTTTTGATCCTTAAGACCGCACCAACTTTCATGAGCCGCTAATAAGTTAGTGAGACAGAAATAACTTGTTCTATAACCATTCTGCTTTTCTGAAAAATTCGGTTTTCATCAAGATACGTAAACAGCTCCTCCCGAATAGTCTTTTCCGAAATTTAACAACCACGTTGTTTAGACTATCAGGTCTATAGCTCTCATATTTATGTTTCATACCTGTTTTTAACACGTGATCTTAGCTCGGAGTGCCGAGAAGCGGAACAGGACCTAGTACATTGTTCTTCTAGTGTTTTTTAGTGATCGACCCCGGGTTACGGATAGATTGATACATATGCTCAATGGGTTTGAGAAGAAATTATCTAGTTCCTTTAGTTGTCTATG